CCCTCTCTCTCTCTCTCTCTCTCTTCCTAGTCCTGGGGCTTGAACTCTGGGAACTTCCTTGAGCTTCTTTTTTTCCTCAGGGCTAGCACTCTACCACTTGAACCACAGCACCACTTCTGGCTTTTTTTCTATTTATATGGTACTAAACAATTGAACCCAGGGCTTTATGCATGCTAAGCAACACTCTACCACTAAGCCACATTCCCAGCCCCAGATGGGGATTTCATAGTTACATTTCCACAGTTTTATAGTATATTCCAATCAATTCTTTCCCTCCCTCGCCCTCCCCATCTTTCCCTCTTTCTCTCTCCCCTCCCCTCCTCTTCCTCTCCCCTTCTCTCTCCTCTTTCCTCTCTTCTCTTTCCTCTCTCCTCTCTCCTGTTTTTTGAAACAAGAGATATAGCTGGTTGGTCCAAAAGTGGTTGTGTACTCAGATTGGCCTTGAATTTCATGATCTTCCTCCCTAGGCTCCTGAGGGATGGCTGCCATACTTACTGAATAAAATAAAATGAGTATCAGAAAGTAGTATGTAATTACCATATGAATTCTTTAGATTTTGTGTATGTGTCTGTCAGTCAGTACTGGGGCTTGAATTCGAGTCCTTTAGTTCTTGCTTGGCTTTTTTCACTAAAGTCTGGAGCTCTACTACTTAAATTATACCATTACTCTGGTTTTTTGCTAGTTAATTCGAGATAAAAGTCTCATGGACTTTTCTGAATTTTCTCAGGTCTCAGTAGCTAGGATTATAGGCTTGAGCCACCAGTATGTGGCTTGTAGGTAGTTTTTGTATTGGTTTAAAAGAGAGAATGATACTTTCTTTAGTTTAACTAGTTAAGAATTTAGTTTCTGGATTTTTCACTAGTCCTTACAGGACAGAATGTCATAAACAAGTCATGTAGAAGTTTGCACAGGAATGCTTATTGGGTTGGGGACAAAGAAGTAAGTCCCCTTGGCTGTACTTGGGGATTAGAGAAAGAATAGAATATTTAAAAAGCTAGGGTAAAATTTTATGAATCCATGCTGTCACTGATACAAGTATTCTTATATTTTACTCAGAGATGTTCATATTTATCTCAATTTCCCTGTTCAGTTGATTCAGGAGGAGCCAACTTACCTAGACAAGCAGATACATTCCCAGATCGAGATCACTTTGGCCGAATATTCTACAATCAGGCAATTATGTCTTCTAAAAACATCACACAGGTAATTTCTCATTAATGAGATGTATTGTTTTGAACTCTAAATGTTTTTTGCTTATTATGTACACCAGGATAACTTAAATATAACAAGATTTAGCATATAATGTAATGTTTTCCCACATCTTAAGGTTATCTTCAGTTAGGACCTTTCATTAATTATAGAAATAGTTCTTTCTGTAATAATGGTTATTTTTCTAGGGTTATACAAGAAAACTAGTGTAGGGAAACTGTGGTATACATGAGACACATGCAAAATAAGTTCATGGTAGCATTGAGATTAGAACAAAAATTAAACAATAATGGAAATGTATGTTAGTGTGAGATTAGTAATAGTTTAAAACCAATGAACTAAAATTACATTTATCAACATAGATAAATCCCAAAATTATTTGAGTTAAAAGATAGAAGAAGCTGGGTGCCTGTGGCTCATGCCTGTAATCTTAGCTACTCAAGAAGTTGCCATTCAGTGAAGTTTGTGAATGTAATCAGTGTCACTCCTTTCAGCATTCTTAACCCATCTCTCCCAATCCACTCTTTCCTCTTCTTGATTTTGTTGAATGTGCATTGAACTTTTTACTGCATTTCCTTCCCCCCTTTTCTTTCTTTATCCCCCTCCTTGACCTTACTCTGTCCCTTCCAAGTACCCATTTCCTTGAGTTTATTTTCTGTTTTTAAAAATTTGATTATCTTTTAAGTAGTTGTACAAAGGAGTTGCCATTTAACAGCAGTTTGGGAAATATATTGTGATATATTGTATTCATGATATCTTGATATCATGATATCAGTGTCATCCCTTTCAGTATTCTCTCATCCCTTCTCTCCCCACCCCTTCCCTCACTCTTAATTTATAGGATTGAATTCTTGACTGCATTCTCCTCCTCTTTTCCTCATTTGTCTGCCCCTTTTTTTTCCCTCACTCTACCCTTTTTGAGTGCTCTTTTAAAATGCCAGCACTCGGACTTGAACTCAGGGCCTGTGCACTCTTTCTCACATTATTGTTCATAGTGGGTGCTCTACTACTTGAGCTACATCTCCATTTGCTCGTTTGTTGGAGGTCAGGTTCTTCAGGATTTGTCTTCCCAGTCTGGTTCCAAACCAAGGTTGTCATGCCTCAGTGTCCTAGTAGCTAGGATTACAGGTGTAAGCCACTGATGCCTGTCACTGATTTGTTCTTTCAAAGATGAGTAGTGAGTAGTGAATACCTTTTTGTGTGTGTGTGCCTGTCCTAGGGCTTGAACTTAGGGCCCTGGACACTGTACCTAAGCTTTTTGGCTCAAGGCTAGTAATCTGCCACTTGAACTACAACTCCACTTCTTCCTTTTATATGATTAATTGGAACTAAGAGTCTCCCAGACTTTTACCTGGGCTAGCTTTGAATTGGGATTCTCAGAGCTCAATTTCCTGAGTAGCTAGAATTACAGGTATGAGCCATTGGTCCTTGGCTGTGAATGTACTTTTGTTTCATTATTTAGAGAATGCTTTATTACTTTTCATAACCAAACCCAAGTAGATAAGACCTTATAGTAATACAGTGCATTTACCCCTGTACAAATGGAAGAAAAAAATTTTTTGTGGGTCATGGGGCTTGAACTCTGGGCCTAGACTCTGTTCCTGAGCTGTTCAGCTGAAGGCAAGCACTCTACCACTTGAGCCACAGCGGCACTTTTGGTTTTCTGGTGGTTAATTGGAAATAAGAGTCTTATGCATGGACTTTCCTGCCCTGGCTGGCTTTGAACTGCAATCCTCAGATCTCAGCCTCTTGGATAGCTAGTATTACAGGCATGAGCCCCAGCACCTGGCTAAAAGTACATTTCTTTTTTTTTTTCTTTTGGTTGGTCATAGGGCTTGAACTCTGGGCCTGGGCGCTATCCTCAAGGCACGTGTTCTACCACTTGAGCCACAGCACCACTTCTGGTTTTCTAGTGGTTTATTGGAGATAAGAGTCTCACAGAATTTCCAGCTTTGAACAGTGATACTCAGATCTCAGCCTCCTGAGTAGCTAGGATTATAGGCGTGAGCCACTGACACTCGGCAAAAGTACATTTCTTTTTGGACAATGTCACCCTTTCCCTCTCTTTCCCTCCCATCTCCACTTACAAGTTGTATAGTGTCTAGTGGGTACCACTGCTGCATTTGTTTGATTAAAAGCAATTTAGTACTTGATTACATAAATCTGTTTCTTAGGACTTGCTTGCTGTGCTTTGGGTATGGTTTGTCAATAAAGGTTCGTTGTTAGGAGCGTGATCCCTCGTGTGACTTGATCCTCAAGTGCTAAGTACTCAAGTGCTAAGTACTGCTACTTTCTGCTTTATTTTATTTTATTTTGGGTCCGGTCATGGGGCCTGAACTTTGGGCCTGGGCGCTGTCCGCTCTTCAGCTCAAGGCTAGCACTCTACCACTTGAGTCA